CCTTATTTATTTTATGTGCATTTGTGTTTTGTGTATGTCTGTGTGGGGTGGTCAGACTCCCTAGAACCTACAGACAGTTATGAGCTGCCATGTGGGTGCTAGGAATTGAACCCAGGTCCTCCAGAAGAGCAGCCAGTGCTCTTAACCACTGAGCCACTCTCAGACCCCCCCGCCCCCATTTTTTTTATTTATAATTTTTTTTAATTTGTTTTATTTTATGGGTGTGAATGATTTGCCTGCATGTATGTCTGTGCACCATGTGTGTGCCTAGTGCTCTTGGGGGCCAGCAGAAGGCATCATATCCCCTGGAACTGGAGTTACAGATGATTGGTTGTGAGCAGCTGTGTGTGTACTGGGAATTGAACCCAGGTCCTCTGGAAGAGTAGCCAGTGCTCTCAATCACTGAGCCATCTCTCCAGCCTCCCAAACTATCTCCTTTTGTTCCATTCATGATCACCACAACCAAAGTAACCTCCCTGAAATGTAAGCCCTGTTTAAAATGCTTGTGTGAACCAGACATGGTGGCTGTGGTGACTTAAGGTGTCCCCTAGAAGTCTTAGTTATTTGAGTACTTGGTCACCAGTAGGTGGCTGTTTGGAGAGGATTAGGGGGTGTTGAAGGTTTCACAAAATTCATACCATTCCTATTGTGTCCTGGTCCAGCTTGCAGTTCAAGATCTAAGCCCTTAGATACTGCTCTGGACGTGCCACTTGCTGTTTTCGTCCATCCTCATGTGCTCTACCCTCTGGAACCAGAAGCCCCAAATAAACTCTCTCTTCTATAAGTTGCCCTGATCCCACTGTTTTATCACAGCAACAGGCAAGTAACTAATACAGTGGTGCACACCTATAATGCCAGCACTTAGGAGCCAAGGAAGGAAGACTGCTTGACTTCAGTCTAGCTTGGGCTACACACCAGGACCCTGTCTCAAAAACCAGAAGTTCTTGCCAGGGATGGTAGTACACACCTTTAATTTCTGTACTTGGGAGGCAGAGGCAAGTGGATCTCTGAGTTCCAGGTCAGCCTGGTCCACATAGTGAGATCCAGGCCAGCCAGGGATACTCAGGTAGATGCTGGTCTACCTGCCCCCAATAATTGAGCAATCTTCCACTGTTCTTACGTCTGAGTTTTTTCAGACCCTGTTAACCTCAGGTTCCTATCTGACCCCTCCACACCTCACACTCCACGCTTCAACTTCCCAGCACTGCATCCAGTCTCTCAGGGATATGACCCACCCACCAGTCCCTCAAGCTGCCTTCTCTCCCACTGTGGCCTGCCTGACTCTTGTTCCCACACAATAAAACTTCACCCTAATCCACTCATTCTCAGAAGCCATAAGGTGCCTCCCCTCAGAGCACCCACAGATACCTGGATTTAGCCGATTCTGCCATTTTTTGGTATGTTCATCTCCACATCCAGATGCACTCTTCGAGTCTCTGTGCGCTTGTTGTAATGTGTGGGCCACTGTGCTTTACAGCTTACACACATTCCCTAACTACCTTACCACTTCCCGCATGGTGTAACGCTCATCTCGTCCGTGTGGACTTTCATTTTTTCCCCTTGTCTAAGTGTCGTCCTAGAGAGAGGTAATCTGACTCTTCCAAGTCCCCACAGGCACACAAGGTGGAGTCCTGAGTGCGGAATCAAGGCTGTGCTGCCAGGAGTACACACAGGCTGCCACTGCCACTGTCTCCTTCGCCTCGTCACAGAACCCCAGTTTTATTTGGGTTGGCAACATGCCCAATTAATGTTCCCAGCCTCTTTCAGCGATACATGCTGGGTGACTCAGTTCTGTGGCATTTCCAGGCGGCTTCAAATGGCTTATAGACTAAGTGACTGGAGCGCTAGCAACCACCTTGGACCAAGAGATATTTAATTAATTATTGGGTTTTCTTCTTTTTAACTTTCTTCCTTCCTCCTCTCCTTCCCCCTCCCTCCCTTTCCTTCTTCCTTTCCTTCCTTCCTTCCCTTCCCCGCCTGTCTTTCTTTTCTTTCTTTTTACATGCTCTCACTATGTATCCCTGGCTGGTCTGGAACTTGCTATATAGACCAGGCTAGTGCCAAACTCACAGAGATCCACCTTGCCTCTGCCTCCTGAGTCCTCGGATTAAAGGTCTGTGTTACCATGTCTGGCTTTAAAATTTTTTTTTTAAATTTTAATTTTATGTGCAAAGGTGTTTTGTCTGCATGTGTGTATGTGCTGATATCACATGCATGCAGTGCCCACGGAGACCAGAAGAGGGCATTAGCTCTCCTGGAACAAGAGTTGCAGATGCACATGGATGCTGAGAATTGAACCCAGGTCCTCTACAAGAGAAGCCCGTGCTTGCCGCTGCTGAGCCGACCCTCCACCCCCAACCTGACCACTATGAGGGATTCTTGAGGAAGGAAGTGAGGACTGAAAGAGACAGTACAGACAGGACTTGCAGACAGACGTGGTGCCAGATTCCTACTGACACCATGGGCCATGCTCTGGAAATACCTTTTTTCGTTCTTGAGACTAGATCTCCTCATGCAGCCTGGTGTGGCTTTGATTTTACAATGTTCTTGCCTCCGTCTTCCAAGTGCTGAGATTACAGGCATGCACGGCACCACCAGGCCACGTTTTTTTTTTTTTTTTTTTTTAATGCTGTGGTAACAGAAACTGCCATTAAGTCACAGTGAGCCCTAGGGTTCCATGAATTTGCAGCCACTGATACAAAGGGTTGGGTTATAGCCCACCCATGAGGCCCAGGGTCGTGATTCAGGAGCAACAGCCAGCATGGGTGATATAAATTGTGTCTTTATTTGAACATCATTCCACCTGCACTGAAGCTCAAATCCGGCGGCAGCAGGAGGGGTCGGGACCAAAAGAAATGTCACCGAATTAGACAATGAACATCAAGGACACATTCAGACAGAACTTACTAATGGGGTGTAGACGACATCGATCTATCCTAACACACAGCACAGGTCCTTGGAGGGCTGTCAGAGTCCTCGGGAGGGCTGGCTGCTCCTGCTCACATCTCAGGAAAATTCCAGTCCCACCCGAAAGCTAGCTCTGAGCCAGGCAAGAACCCACAGAAGCAGCCTCTTGTGCTCGAAGGAGCCCAGCCCCTCCAAAAAGAGGGTTTCCCCTTTTCACACCAGAGGCTGGAGAAGGGCTGTCCCCTCTGTGCTCAAGTGGGACTCTTTAGAGGTCCTGGGCTCCTTACCCAGAGCTCCAGGCGCAAGCTGCCATCTCGGCTTTTGCAGGCCCCAGAAGGATGCCAATCTTCCCCACATCCTTGTGCCCTTAGGAAGGCTTTCCTCCGTAGCTGTGGTCCTCTGAGGGGAGCCTTCTACTTGCCACAGCCCCAAGGACGGGCCTAACCAATGCTGAGGGCCAGAGACTGGACCACCTCAAGGTTATGACTGCCCTCTCCGCTCTCTGCCAGGAGCAAAGAAAGTCAGTAATACCAGCATCCTTGTCCAGTCACAACCGGCTGAGAACTTTCAGGGACCTGACACCAGGGAGCTCTTTGTTGGTGATCAGAAACAGAGATGTTGATCTTCATAGCCTATCCCTTCCCCCAAAGGCTCACCTGCCCTCACGGTACCACATCAACTGTCAGGAGATCTGTCAGAGCACCCCCTGAGTTCCCGGAGGAAGCGTCCATTCTCCCTGTCCCCACCTCTTCTAAGTCCCTCTACTGCCTCTCATCTTCCCCATGTCACACTGGGGCTCCTGCAGACTTAAGCCCATCACCCTGAAACTCCACGATGCATCTCAAAGTGCTGGGCAGTAGCTGGGTGGCTGGAGGGGGCATTGGAACACTGTTAAACTACTCCCAAAAAAGAATTAGTTTCCTACCTCCCCATCATCTGGATTACCCTACTGCTAACACAGCCTGATCTGCTAATTCATTCTCTGTCTCTCTCTCTGTCTCTCTCTCT